ATGTACTCCGGTTGGGTGTCCTGACTCGACGCCACGGCAGCGCCTGTCGCCGTGTAGTTGGGTGGTCTCACGTAGGAGGCATTGATGTAGGAGGACGAGAGGGGACCACTCTGCATTAAATCGAAAAAAATTCAACTGATGACTTGGCCACAGTGTATGCCTGGTTCTACAGTGGTCAGACACATCTTTAACCAATAATCATACCACGGATGCTGGTCTGGGGTTCCTGAGTGGTAATGGCCATTTCCTTCCAAGAATCACCATCGATTGATCATCTAAAATAAGACATCACTTTCTTGTAAGTTACCTCACAAATTTCTACTGGAAGGCATTCCATGACTGTAGACACGGACGCTAATTTTGGATCAGTGCTTAGTGGACCTCCTGCAGTTCAAGAAGGCAAACCTAATTTTCATAGTCCTCGTAGTTTGCTGGAATATGCCCTATCCTTCCATTTGCGAATGTTCTACACTAGTCAGAGCTCAAAATGTGGAACAAAAGCCGATAAGGCACCAAGCCAATGCTGTATTCTGCATCTGGTGCGTCTTCAACATCACAAAAATTCCCACGAGTACACCCGATTTTCTCTGGCTAGTGTAACGCCTTTTGAGATCAAATGCGTTCCACCTGCAGCAAGAGCCAAACTATTTTTGGGTGTCTTGTGTCATCAGAAGTGGTTTGCTTCACAAGTAATTCATTCTAAGGCGAGGCGGCAAACATTTGGCTCAGAAACAAGGAATGAGGGTGTGCACTTCTCTCATCATTGTTAGAATAAACCAGGGCGTAAGCCTGCGTGCTCACACGTTAGTATTTCCAACTGGATCATTTCGGTAAAGCAGTGGTTTGTGTTTGCACTCATTTGTATTGCGTACATCAAGAATTTTGGCTTCATAAGTCAAAGCGAGTGTTTCCATCCGATGCCATCAACCAGTCATAAAATTGTGACTTCGGACAAAGGATGTCAGTACCTCGTCAAGGCAGCAATTACATAACACTGCAAATTGATGCTGTCAACGACGACGTGGGCTACGGTTTCGATAAATGCTCCAGCGGAAATGAGTTTGAGAGTGGCGAAGCAGTAAATGACACATTAAATGTCACATTTGTTGGAAAAAGAAGTGAGATTAAAGTTTTCGCGAAATCTGAGCCTACCACCTAGTTCGGTATCGCTAGCTTAGTTGTCGATGCCTCGACCATAACTTAAATGACTTCACAATCTCTGATGCAAAATTGGAACGCTAATTTAAACCAAACTTACAAGGGAGCATATCAACGTATTGGTTGTGATTGCGTTGGCTTTGCCCTGCATTTTGAGTGAGGTTGAACATGTGTTCCTGTTCATTTGAGACGGCTCTGAGCGACTAATGTGGGTGTGGGAAAAAGGGGAGATCAGCGTTATGCGAAACCCACCAAAGTGATGCAAAATAGTGAGTCATCTTCTCTTCCCAATTTGAGGTCACATGGGCACTATGTGCCTCCTCCGGCCATATGACACCCATGCAACAAGGCTCCATTTCGACACACATGTTTGCATCTTCAGAAATGGCTAGATAGACCAGTCAAATGCACACAAGGGACTGAGCACAAGCTGTGGTTTGGGTGTGCGTATGGGGGCAAAGGTGTGCAAATGCGAAGCACACATCAAGGCATTTATCTTGTGTGAAGTTGCTCTCATCGTTTGACATGGGTGGATGAAACACAAATGAACACGGCAGACTAGATTCAAGCAATAGCTTGGGCGTAATTCCGTTGACACACGTGTGCAAGTGCAGAGCTATCTATAAAAAGCGCACATCAGGTCATCTGTCGTATTTGAAGTGGCACGATTATGCGCAGGCCATTGCAGTCTCTTCGAAAGGCAATTTGTACTTAATTTGTGCGTTTCACCTTTTACCCAATAACATTCTCGTCACCACCACGACAAAACCCACCTCAAATAGATTGTTCCAGGTGTTGTTATTTTCGATTGCCGACAACACCATTGCAAAGCTGGTCACATTCACGGGATTCGATCTAAACCAATCAGGTATACAAAAACACACACGTAACTCATTTAGTTAGCCGTTACTGCGCCAACTTGGGATTAAAAACCTGGGCTTGAAATATGAGAACTAACATCAAGCCCCGAATTGGAAGAGAGGGTCAGTTAGATTGTTTAACTAGTCAGGACTCCGCACCAGCTTCGTATATAAATACTGTTGTCAAGGCCAAAACTAGTGGGAGTTTAAAATTCCTTGATTTAATCATCAGTCAGGCAACTAAATCGATGAGTGTCTAGCCGGTACACGTTCCTTTCTGCGTCTAATGCTGCAAACATGTTTGAGTTTTGGCTGTAGTAGTCGGTATTGTTTTTCAGAAAATGAGCTACACTCATGGTTGCCAACAGAAAGGCATTTCGTGGTGCAGAAAATTCACAAGACAGCTTACACAGGAGCCGAGAAAGCAATGGGACCGTCCGGTTCTTTGTAGGCAATCGAAAATCCCGGGCTGAAAAATCAGTACAGTTTATTCGTCACTGTCAAATATCAAAATGGCATGCTTCACTGCAAGTCCCTGAACCCCTAAGTGCTACAAAATGTGTCACCTGACGCATAAATGTGGCTTCAATACAAATTACAAGTTTGGTCTTAGCAGTAAAGCGGCTGTACCTCTCACCGTCCAATGATTTTACGGCATCAGTTTCGACTCTGTAAATGAATTAGGGATCTTAAGATCGATAGCATGTTCTTGTAACGCCAAACCAAAATCGGGAAACACCGTTTGTTGGTTTTGATTCTGCAGCCTACGTCGATTAGGCCTCTTAAGCTGGTTCTACCTGATGCTTTACAAAGTTGCCTTTCTTTGGTCCTAAGCAATAGAAACACCTGCGTTATTGGAAGTCGCAGAAGGTTCCAGCCTCTTGTAACTCGTTCAATTAGTAACGGACGCAGCGCATTACATATTAAAATCTTACGTTGGAAGCGATGTTGGAAATTGATATTTCTGATCCCCGTCGGAATGCGAGAAATCAATCCTACAAGGTTCACCAAATTAATTCATTCTAACAAATCATTTTAATAACAATGTTACATTTTTAGCAAGTTTTAGAATCCTGCAGTTCAGAGTCCGTGGGATCAAGATGTGTAATTGACTTCAATGTTTAGCATCGGGTAAAGGAGTCGCGTGGTATTTGTCGGCTAATCCGGGTTTTGAAAATCAGCGCCGAATTTCACGATTTCATTCGAAGTGGCAAACGCGTCTACCTAGGAGGCAGTCGACTCGGTTCACTGCCATGCATTCCATTAATGCCATACTGACTGGCCTTGAAGCCATGATTGCTAGAGAGCTTAGCCAAGTTGTCAAAAAATCAAGTTAAGGAACATGCACTAACCTCCTGTAACATGTTTGGCTCGACTGCTTGATGTGAAGTTTACTAATTGCTTAGCTTTCTACAACTATTTCATGTGATGATTATGGGTACCACGTAATGCATATCCAACTACACAATGCGTTAAAATCTTACGTTGGAAGCGATGCAGGAAATTGATATTTCTGATCCTCGTTGGAATCCGGGAAAGCAATCCTACAAAATATTCAGACGATTCATTCATTCTACCAAGTCAGCTAAACGTCTTTAATGTTTATCGAAAAATTGTCAGGTTTGTGTAAATCTGAACTATAATGAATCAGATTCATCAACTTTGCCCACACGGCTCACGCTGACACGTCTGATCATGCACACTCTGCGCATACCTCCACTGACCACACAACAGGCCAGTACTTTTTAAATGACATCCAAATTCTATTGGTTGACAGCGCCTGCTCCTCATGGTCCTATTGTGTACGCAGAAACAAGGACACACAGTCGAGCCACTGACTAGAAGGTTGTGCGTCAATATTCATGGTTAGTAGTTCCATAAACGCCAGCAACGACTACGACGCAACCCCGTTAAAGACTAGTTTGAAATTTCGTTCAAAGTTGTCGTTGGTTTCATCCATTTGAGATTAAATTGTTTCCACATGTATTAACATGTGACTCCACCCAAGTCAACAATACCTTCATCAATTTGAGCAAAATTAATTAAGCACACTGCGAGAGCAGCGAAGGTACTTACAAAAGCAGGTAAAACTCGTAGCATGAAAAGATTACACGTCCATGAGAGTTCAGTGACCAGTCTCACGTAAACTGGTGACGTCGCCAAAAAACCTCCTTCTACACTTATCCCCAGAGGCTCAGAAAGTGTGTGTGTGTGTGCCGCTCTCTGCGGCACTTCACCTACCGGTCTTGCTCGCCCTTGCCTTGACGCTGTACCGACCTTCGTCTCCAGAACACGAAGCCGACCACAATGGCGATGATTACGACGACGGCAACAACAACCAGCGATACAATGAGCGCGAGATTCGGTGGTGCTGCTGAAAGGATATGAGGCAGTTAGAAGTCGCTGTTTCAAACACGTGTCTGACGGTTATCTGCAGGGCCTGTAAAGAATGTGATGATCCATTTGAAAAAGAACTGAGACGTTTTTTTCTTTTTGAAATAAATTTTGTTTATACAACCTTAGACCATTATACTTTCTAAATTTCAAACATTAACCGAATTTGACCAAGTATTCGTTTAAACAGACAAATTCCCGGGTGACGTGGGTCAAAACACAAAGCCACACAGTGGCCTCATCATTACGGCTCAGAGTTAGGCCGCAAGCTCAAGTAAATAGCACCAAGCTTACCTCCAGATGTAGGGTGTGCTGAAATTAAATTTAAAAAGTGCATTTTTAATGAATGAGGTCCGATAAAATTCGTATCGTTATCTGCATCCCCAGCATACCAATATACCTCATTCCTAATCGATTATTAAATGCGTTCAGGTAAATGGGTACTTAATACGAAAGATAACTAGTTTCTAACTGCTGATCATCACCAAATTAAATCATCCAGAACGAATTTTGACCTCAGAAACACAAAGACTGACGCAGAGTTTTTGGTCTGACGTAATAATTATCGGATCATTAGGCATTGTCATTCAACTCGCCATGAAAAAGCTCGGATTTATTCTGTTATCTACGTAGTTTGATAATTGTCGACGGCTACAAAATGTCCATACTACACAGATTACCATTATTCGTCTCTCACAACCACCTCCTCAAAATCGAATACAAGGCGCACATGACTCACATGGCGTTGCTATTTTCGTTAAGCCAACTTCGTCTCCGCATTGAGTAGTCGTGATGCAGGAACTG